TTTTTCTTTCCGTAGAAGAGTTTTCTTGAAAAATTGTTTTAATTTTTGTTTGAAAACTAATTTCTAAAAGAACTTTCTATTTCGGAAGTGTTTTTAGAGAAGTCGGGACCCATTTAACATGACCTTTTATTTTGTTTTTGTTTCCCATAAAACAGATTTTGGAGGAAATTATCTTAATTTTTTTTCGGAAAGTAATTTTTAAAACAACTTTGTACTCTGAAAATACTTTCAGATAAAGTCAAATTAGATCAGCTTTCTGTAAAAACTCTTCTAATTATTATAAAATTAGCTAAACGGGTCCAAAAATAATTTTTGGATATCGAACAGCTCATTTTAACTTTTCAATAGCCATGCCAAACGGGTTCTAAACCAACTTTTTCTCAAAACTTTTCTAACTAAAAGAAACACTTTCTTAAAATTAGTCCAACGAATCCAAAAGCAACTTTTAAGTATCAAAAGCTCATTTATCTTCTCAAAAGCTATATCAAACGAGCGATTAACATCTTTATTTACTTTTATACCACTTTTAATTATCTTATTTGAAAGCTCCGATAATTATAAGTATTCACACTTTATCTTCAATGTATTAGTTGAGTGGAAAATTATTTTTGTCATTTCCCGACTTTGTCCTTGACCTTACCTAAAATAGTACTACATCGAATTATCTAACAGCAAACATGTTACATGTACATTATTTTTAACATTAACTTTGACATCCTTCTACATGGCACCCATCACAACTTTTGATTTTCTTAACGCCATTTCACATCGCTTGCCAGATTTTGACATATAGAAGGGAATGTCATCCCTAATGTAAACATTAATATACATCTAGAATAATTCATCTAATAGACGAGAGATGATCCAAAATTTTAATTAGTTTTATTATTGTTTGTTCATTTTAAATACCTATCTAAATTTTGTTTTAAAAGAGATTGAAAGTCGTTTCTAAAATTAAGAAGCTACTTTTGCATCCGTTTGAATATTTTTTTGTAGGTGATTTGTGTGACTACATGAAATCTTAAAGGAAATTGACCTAATCTATTTTTCTTAGGAAATATTTTCTATAAAAAGTAGAAGCAAAAGTAGGAACACTATCAAATATATCCATAATACTTAACGAATTCATAGACGATTATCATTCAATTCTTCACACATTGCACAAATCACAAACCTTATTTATAAAAATTAATAATGAGATGATCAATCAAAATGCTGTCTATAGATACGAGATT